CATCCTCCAACAATCCTGGACAAAGCCGTCGCTGCCGGGTGGTCCTACAGCAACCCCCTCCCCCCCAGCCAAAGCTGAGACACCCCCCCCCAAATGCTGCATCCCCTCCTCTTTGCATGCACAGGGTGGGGATGAATTGGAAAATTTGGGGATGCTTTGAAAAATAACCCAACTTTGAGTCTGGGGGTTCAGCAAAGCCCCATCCCGGCTTGCACAGGATCAGCTGATGGGTAAAGGCTCCTCAGGCTCAGCTGTGGCGATTGGCCTTGGGGTATTTTCCTGATATTTGCTTTTTCTGGTAAATAACCAGGCACAGAGGGGCTGCCCCCCAAAAAACCCAGCAGCCCCTGGCTTCGGGTCTCCCCAGGAGCCACGTTCAGCATCTGGCTGCTGCTCAAAGCCCTTTTCTTCCCCCGTTGCCAGGGCAAAGGGTTGCAAAAGCGAGGGATGCCGACGGGGGGAGGGGGTCCCCCCTTCCCAAAAAGCAGTGGGATAAATAAAACAGGGAGACAGATGCTTTGTGCATCCTGCAGGACGAGCCCCGGCAAGCCAGGACGGGTCCGGACAAGTTGGATGCACAGCACCAAAGTTCCCATCACTGGGATCTTGCAAGACGCTGCAGCATCTCCCGCTCCAAGCACAGGGAATGCAAAGGTTCCGGCTCGCACCACCTTGATTTTGGGGTTAAAATGAGTGGGTTTGGGTTAAAGCCAGTTGGCGACTTACCCGCTCGCTGATGGCGTTGTACTTGATGGCCAACTCATCGCGCTCGGCCCGGCTCTGAGCCAGCAAATCCTCAACACGCGACAGCTCCTGCTGCAGGATGCGGTTTTCCTCCTGGAGGGACAGCAGCGAGGACATGGCCCCCGCGACGGCCGCTGCGGGACGGGGACGGGGCTCAGGGTGGCTCCAGAAAGCAGTGGGATGGGGATCCGGCCCCCAGGATGGAGCCAAGATGCCCTTTGCAGCCAAGAGCTGCTTTGTTCCTTCAGCAGGGAAGGGGGCTGGGCTGAGCCTTCCCCACGCGCTCAGCCAAGGCCACAAAAAGCATTTTTCCCCCCTCAGCTGCAAATGCTGTGGCCCCGTGCAACTCCAAGATGCTGCGTGATGCAGTTTGCAGCAGCAAAACTGCTGCAGATTTGCATTTGCAATTGCAAGACCCGTGCAAATTTGTGTTTGAATTGGCAAAACCGCTGCAGGGTTGAAGCTGTCATCACAAGACAGCTGGAAATTTACAGGTGTGATCGCAAAAACACTGCAGATTTGTCGCCACAATCACAAGGGTGCTGCAAATTTGTGGTTTTGATGGCAAAACGGCTGCAAATTTGTAGTTGTGATCGCAAGACGGCTACAGAATTGCATTTGCAATTGCAGAACCACTACAGATTTGCAGCTGCCATCACAAGAGCGCTGCAGGTTTGCAGCTGCGATTACAAAACCGCTGCAAATTTGAGGTTGCAATCGCAAAAACGCTGCAAATTTATTATTGCAATTGCAAAACCACTGCAGATTTGTTTGCAGTCACAAAACCGCTGCAGTTTTGCAGCTGCAATCGCATGAGCACTGCAGGTTTATAGCTGTAATTGCAAAATTGCTGCAAATTTGTGTTGGCGATCACAAGAGCACTGCAGGTTTGCAGTTGCAATCACAAAACCGCTGCACATTTGCAGTTGCAATTGTAAAACTGCTACAGAATTGTTTGCAATTGCAAGACTGCTACAGATTTATAGTTGCAGTCTCAAGACTGCTGCAGATTTGCAGCTGTGATCACAAAAATGCTGCAGATTTACAGTTGCAATCACAAAACTGCTGCAATTAGCAGTTAGGAACACAAGACCACTGCAGATCTGCAGCTGCAATTGCAAGAACACTGTGGATTTATAGCTGCCATCGCTATAAATGGGAGCTATAACTCTGATTTATAGTTGCAATTGCAAAACCGCTGCAAACTTTCAGTTATGGTCTCAAAAATGCTCCAAATTTATTTGCCATCATGAAACCGCTGCCGATCTGCAGTTGCAATCGCAAAACCACTGCAGATTTACAGTTGCAATCACAAAACTGCTGCAAATTTGCAGTCGCAATCGTGAAGCAGCTGCAGATTTGCATTTGTGATCATAAGAGCAATGCAGATTTTTAGTCACTATCACGAAAGCACCACAGATTTCTCTCTGCAATCACAAAACCTCTGCAACTTTGTGCCTGCGACCACAAGAGCGCCTCAGACTTACAGCTGCAATCACAGAACAGCAGCGGATTTGCAGCGGCAGTCACCAGACGGCCGCAGGTTTGCAATTTGCAATCTCCAAAGTGCCGTTGGCACTTGCAGAACGCACTGCAAAAGTGCCATTTGCAATCGCAAA